TCAAGCAGAAGAATGGGAGACCTGGTCTGATAACTGTTTTTAAGGATTGCCAAGGTTATTGATTCCATGATGGTAGAGAGAGAGAGAGAGAGAGAGAGAGAGAGAGAGAGAGAGACAGAGAAGGAGAGAGACAGACAGACAGACAGACATAGAGGAGAGACACCGAGAAAGCTCTATGTCTTGACAGAAGCACAGAAAAAAATAATAAGCTTTATTCATTGACCTGACAATGGAATGAGCCCACAACCATACCAGTCAGAGCGGGTAGATGACAAAGGATCGCCTCACACGCAAGCACACTCACTCGCCACAGACCAAAGTCAAAATTAAACACAGGCAGAAAAGACAAATGAAGATAACCAGTGAGTTCCACAGCTAGTTAGATATCCAAATCTCCCAAGGACCTTTAAAAGCTCAGTGCCACTTCCTGTCTGCAGAAACTGGGCTTCTGGGGCCCAGGCAGCCTGGCTCAGGTAACCACTGAAGTTTTCCTAGGAAGGCTTGCTGGGGTCCCTCTTTCCTTCATTCACAAAGAAGGTGTGACCTTGGGTCAGCAGCCCTTCAGGTCCATTCACACCTGGTACAAGGCCATTCCAAGAGTTGAGAAAGAACTTCACGAGGTGAGGAAACATCACTTGAGATGTCAAGCTTCACACTCTTTATGAATCAAGCATCTATATAACATACCTATATTCCAAGCACTGTCCTAAACCCTTTACAAATGTTAATTCGTGTCACTAACTAGTCTTCCAGAGCGCTGGTACTTCACGAACTCTTAGAGTGTCTTTGTATCTGTTAGCTGCTGTCAACGGACTGCTGCTTACCAGCCACAAAACCCCAGTGGCATACGGAATAAAACTGTTACAGCTCACATGCTGTACAGTGTAGGCTGGCTCCTCAGGCATGTGTAGACCTGCTGGGGGTTCCCTCTGGGCTGCCGGGCCAGGCACCTCCACTGGGCAGCGCTGCTCCACGTGTCTCTCCTCCCCCTCCTCTCATCGACCAGCAGCCTGGCCCGGGCATGTCCTTCCCAGGGACAGAGCAAGAGGGCAAGTGGAAACGCGCAAGGTCTCTTGAGGTCCAGGCTGGAAACCGTGCACTGTCACTTTCACCTTATTCTATTGCCAAAGCAAGTCACGTGATGAATCCCAGACTCAAGAAATAAGGACATGAAATCCACAAAGTCACATGGCGAAGGGCATGGATAAGGAGAGAGGGAAGAACAGGGCATCGAGGTAACCTACTGCGGCCTCTCTTGGCCAACAGTCCATCCAGAACGCAGAGGAGGTCTCCGTAGGGTCAGGCTCTCCTGACGGTACAGCCCCGGAGAGTACTCTGGACTCCAGAATCTGTTGTCTTGTTCTGCCCCAAATGCCACAGTCTCCAGGCCTCCTGGGGGGCTGAGTCCAGGGTGAGAAGGGTCACCTCACAGACCGATGGAACAAGGCGGCAGAACCTGCACGGGCCTAGGCCCTCTGACGGCTCTCGGCGCCTGACTTTATTGGAACAGAGGAGGAGGAGGATCTAGAAAGTGAGGGTGGGCATAACCCCTGTGGGGGCCACAAAGCTCACGAAACACCTCTGTGGCTTAGTGGAGAGGGCCCAGCCTGGACCCCAGCATCAGAAAACCCAGCTTCCAACCCTGGTCCTGTCACTAACCAGCCAGGGCCTCTGGAGCTCATTCAACCTCTCCGGGGCCAGTTCTCATATCCAAGAAATGGAGATGACGATATGTTCCTCACAGACGCGAAATAGGCTGTTCCCATGAAACAGGCTTCGCCAAGTGCCACTAAATGTCCTCTGAAGTGGTGGGACACCCGCCACCCGCAGCTCCAGCATCACCACCCGCCCTGCTCTGTGGTGGCAGCGACATTTCCAATCCCCTCTCCAAACACTGCTGGTCCTTCGGCCCTCACAACTAGGGGGGTCCTGCGGCTCCCCCTATTTCCGGCCTCCATGAGATCCCTCTGGTCCCATATTTTTGATTTCCCAGCTGCCTGGCTGCTCCACCTTTGGCTGGTTTAGACTTTCCATCAGCATCTCTCGGCTTGATTCTTCTGGTCTTTCCCAGCAGGCTGGCCTCACACACCACATTAAAGGTCAGCTCCTGGATGCTATTATGGCTGAGCAGCTGGAAAAAGCCTCAGAAGCTCATTTCCCTTTCTCTAGCTACTAAAGCATTCTTTTATCTATCGACCCCCAAGTGAGACCCCGGGTCCCAAAATCAGCTATTCCCTGTCACCTCAGACAATAGCATCTTTTAAAACCTCATCTGGACTCATCTCTCTAAGTGACCACCACCTCCTTTAGATGATGAGCCACCAAATCCTTCCGGTCTGCCTCGCGGAGTGGCGGTACTCACACCTGGCGGCCTCAGGAAAAGATGGGGCTGTGCGGGGCAGTACAGGGTCTCCCAGCCATATGAGCAGCATCTCATGCTCACCAGCTCCCACTGCCCTGCTCAGACCTGCTGGACCAATCCAGGGGGAAGGGCGAGAATGATTATCTAGACAGGGACCAGAGCAGAGGGGAGAAGGAGCCAAGTGCCCAGCCAGCCAGGCTGGGGTCTTCAGGCAATTTATCAGAAATGTGTACCTAGCTGGTCCCCTCCGCACTTATAGCCCTCAGCTCCCACTGCCTCCTGGGCCTGGAGCCCCGCCTCATACCTTTCACGTAAATCTGCCCCTGAGCACAAGCAGACAAGAAGAGCTTGAATTCAAGTCTGAGAGAACAGAGGAGCTGACAAGTTTGCAGAGTGGGCCCCTGGCAAGGCCCCCGCCGGCCAGTGCAACAGGGAGGACAGTTACCGATGTGGCCAGGCACGTGAACACCTCCAGCTCATTTATGCACTTGGGTGACCACTGTTGTCTGTATGACCCTCATGTGAACCCCAGCTGAGCCCCTCGGTGGGGCTAGTGGCTCCTCTCATTTGCAGGGGCGGTGACAAAGCTTGAGAGTTCAGCCGACCCAGCAGGTCTAACGCATGAATGCGCTGAGTGCTTCCAGTTATCAGCAGGTCAGCACCGGTTCAAGCAGGGTGGGATCCAGGTGCTCCCATCATGCATCAGGCTCTGCCGCTCCCAAAGTCCCAAGTGTGCTCTGTGACCTGGGCTCCAAATCACGGGGTCCTTTTTTGACTCCCCAACCAAGGCTGAAACTCTACGGCATCCACAACTGTGCCCCCGGTGCAGAGCAGAGCTAGGGGCTGTGTGGGTGGGGGGCAGGGACTGTAAGATTTCCCCCAGCTGGGGACACTACCCTTACATCACCATTAAAACTACAGTTGTCATAGACTGTCTGCTCCAGAAAGCACCTCAGAAGTCATTCAGTTTAGTCTCCTTTTCTCCAAAAGAACTCTCATCTGGAAGGCAAACGAGCAGAGCAAAGGGTCCCCCACGTCGCTCACACTATTCTCCTAAGGTGCATTAAATCCAGCACCAAGCCTCTGCTCCTCTGCAGTCCGGTATCAAGAACGGCCAGCCGCTGGAGCACCCCCTCCCCCATCGCATCCCACCGGTCCCTGGGGAGGGGGCTCTGCCCCTCACCCCCTCACCTCCTGTTGCTCCTTACAAAAAGGAGACTCCCCTCCCCAGCCTCTCCTACCTCCGGGCCCTTGCTGTTCAGGAAGACTCAGAAACACCCTTCCCAGACTCCATTCACCGACATGTGCGTGACCACACCGGCCTCGACACTCACTGCCGCCTGCCAGCTCCCCTCTCCCAGGAAGACCCACTCCGACCCCAGACTCTGTCTCCACTCCTCTGGCGCTACACACCTCCAAACAAAATCGAGGTTGGGGGTGGGGGGAAGTGGACCTCCCTGTGCATGACTTTCTTGTCCCAAAACTTAAATGCTACCAGCAAACCCCTAAGAGCTCCACATGGGGAAGTTCGACTCCTTCCTAAGATGATGGGAGGAAAACACTCAGCTCAGTCTCTGGAGTCTCTCACGACAGCCAGAACAAGACATGAAATAATAGATCCATTAATGTATCAATAGAGTATCCCCCCCAACCCGCCCCACTCGAGTGAAATAAACAAAGCAAGGCTTTTCTGATGAAAAAGAGCCAGGGTCCTATGTCCCTATTATCTACCCCTATGATCCCTGAGGGTCAGTGGTTTTGAAAACTACCAAATGCTACACCACCCACCCCTACTCGCTCACTTTCCTTTCACAGATGAGGAAATTGGAGTGGTTTCTCCAAGGTCAACCAGTTAATCAGACCCTGAGGCTAGCAAGAGGCTGCCTTCAGCACTAATAGGATCCGTCATTTGACAGCAGAAGCCTCTTCCCCCTCATCAGGTCCCTGACACCTCCCCAAGGGCTCTCAAAGGGGCAAAGAGAAAGAAGGAGCCAGACTCAAGAGTCACCACAGAGAAGAGCCTCCCTACCCTATCGATGACG